GTGAGTGAGTGAGTGAGTGAGTGAGTGTGTGTGTGAGTGTGTGTGTGTGTGAACCAGTTAAATTATTAGGGCTGTCAGGTGATTAAAAATCTCATTAATTAATTATTCAATTGCATGACGTGCTGATTAATTCATCTAATTAATTGCATATCAATTTTGGTGAGAAATAACCCCCAAAGGATAAAATCATTATTGTGTTAGATGAGGAAATCATTGAAGAGACACAAAATGTACAAAATCGTAGCTTTAGGAAGAAATATTTTATTTGATTTAACATAGAATTTATTACACATAAACCTTTTAGGCTACAATATGGCCATAACGTTGTTTTCAGAAGTGGCATGTAGGTGTATTGAATGCATTTACACTGCGATTTGAATTACATAAGTTATGCTACGAGATTAAATGGTTTTAAATGGGCATTAATGGGTTTAAAAAGTGAATACTGAAATACGAAATGTAAAAAAATGTTAGAGTGAATGGATTCATTCATTCAACTGATTCGTTCAAACACTGATTCATTCATTCTTAATGTACGAGTCACTGAATCATTGACTCACTCGATTCGTTCAAAAATGTGGATTCATTCAGTAAAGAATCACTGCTGTGGCTTTGTTTGCAAACACAATATTACTTCTTTCTTGTTTATTGAACTTGTATAAACTCAATGGTACAGATATAGGGGAGAAACAGCACTCTTGCATATGTTGAATTTTAGGCTCATATAACTGCATTCTGATAGGCTTCATCACGCAGTCAGTCAGTCACTCTGCATCAGTGTTATTTCCCATAATTAATCACACCAAAGGGGAATGCATTGAATCCACAGCCCTACAAAAATGTGTTGGATGGAAAGAGTTTCCTACTTTTTCATTTTGGAAAAACAAGTAAATAAATGAGTGAAACTTGTTTGTGTATTACTTCTATAATTAGATTTTCTGTATTTGTCATGAAGTCCATCTGATGTGTGGTTAATCAGTGTTTTTTCTTCGCTTAAGTCACGAGACATAAACCGAGCAAACAAGAAGGAGGTGAAGGAGGCCAACAAGTACTACTTCATCGAGTCCTCCATCGCTCTCTTCATCTCCTTCCTCATCAATGTTTTTGTGGTGGCCGTCTTTGCAGAGGCCTTCTATGGCAAGACCAACATGGAAGTGGTGAGCACTTTCACATCTGCTTCCTTTATGAGAGGCTTACAGTGGGATATTTGAGTGTTTCACATTTGAGTTTGTGAATGAATTAGGACTGGGTGGTATGACGGTATATATCGTTACTGCGGAATAAAGTGTCTATCGTTAGGGTTTTTGCTATATTGTGTATTCCGCGGTATGCAAATATATATATGCGCAATATACTACTTACAGTTTTTCTCGATTGCTCAAACACATTTCTTGAAATTGTGCCTCCTTTCCTCTCAACACAAATCCATAACTTCTCACCCAATTCCCCAAACTTCCTATTCTCAAGTCAAAATGAAGCTCTCCACTCAAAACCATTCACTCTTGCTGAAAAAAACTAACTTTTCCCTCAGACATGACACACAAGCCCTCAGAAACACACACACTACAAAACAGTCTCACACACTAGTGAGATCAGTTCAGAACACGGTTGCAAAAACCTTCTTTTGGCAATCAGGTATCGTTTTACAGCTCAATGTCTCTTACAGTATACAACATGTTAAAAAGAGCAGATACAGTGAAATTCAACAATAAGCTTTAAGAAAAGTGTATTTTCATTACACTGCTGTAAAGAGACACTGCACTTGACTGAATCACTTTTAAACATTTAAACATCATTTAATCACGCTGTAAAGTGAAACGTCACCAGGCCGTTGGCGCCCTCTGCAGGTATTTGTTAGAACACATAATGTACTTAAGTTGGATATGTTCATATTATGTATAGGCATATTACATTATGTACTTTAACAGTGTTGTTCAATTCAATCATGTAATTTCTTGGTTTTGATATTTTATTTGAGCCAATTATTATTGCCTCATCGTTAGTTTATATATAAATAGTCATACTAAAGCCTGGTTTTCATTTAGGTTTATTTGTTACTAAAAAATATCAGATTACTCAATTGTCAAAATAATCAGTAGATTACTTGATTACCAAAATAATCATTAGTTACAGCCCTAGATTAGTTAAAATATTTCTAAATACAACTGCATTGATTTACTTTTTGTAATTAAAAGACAAATATTTTGTCATTGAAAATTTCTTAAAAATAGTATTAAAATATTGTCTCGTTCTAGTGAACCTAGTATCTGTATTTTGTCTCATCTCGTGAGCTAAGTGTATTGTCACACCCCTAGTGTCGATAAGCGGTGATATAGCTCATAATTTTCCAAGTGTATGATACAGCTTTCATTCTTCAGGTCAACCATATATTCATGAAAAAAATAAATCGGTTTGAAAAAAGAAAGCGATAACTCTGCCATAGTATCCTTTCAAATGTTAAAGTTGGCACAGTCATTGCATGCTTTGCATGTGCTGCTCCCCCACCCCCGCCCCACCCCCGGAAAAAAGTTCAGGCTCAGGATTTTTTTTGCTTTAACCCCTCTATGTATCGTTATCGTGAAATAAAATTTCTCATACCGTGAAATATGTTTTTGGTCATATCGCCCACCCCAGTATGAATATATAACTGCGGTTTATCTTTTCTCTTCAGGGTCAGAAGTGTAATGAAACAGGAAGTCCTCACAGTAAGCTTTTCCCTGCCAACAACGAAACACTGGAGGTCGACATCTACAAAGGGGTATGACACAAACAAATGCCTTGCGCTGCATTGTTTGGAATAATCTCACACTGAATATAGTAACTGAATATGATAACCACATTGACAGACTCGGCTGGGATGTATGTTTTTTTTCTGACAAGGTTTGATTCACCAGTGCTTTTTTAATGGTCTACTTTAGTCTATCAGATATGCTGTCAATCCACCAGGATATCTTGCACTATTTCCATGTTTCCGTATTGCATGTCTGCCATTACATTGTTCTGTACATCGTTAAATATTTGATGGGCGAAAGCTCTCATAAGCTTTTTGGATTATCTTGTTTAGTGCATCAGACACCAAAAAGACTCTCGAGCCTGTATCTTTCCTGTAGCTCAATCTGTAGATTATGGCTTCGGTTCCCAGGGAATGCAAGAACTGATGAAAATACAAATGTGTACCTTGAGCACAATGCAAGTTGTTTTGGTTGAAAGCATCTGCCAAATGCATAGATGTGAACGCAAGTGCTGCATGTTTCCCATGACCAGAGGAGTTTGGTGACAGCGCCGCCTGTTGGTCAAAATGTCATATTTAATAATTCAGCTTTGGCTTTTAACCCCTTAAGTGCCACCGGCCCACAGGTGGGCCCAATGGTGCTCTTTTATTTGTTGTCTTTTTTCTCTATCACATATTTTAGTAATCATCAATAAATTGTATATCATTTGAAAGCTTAAAACCTCAAATTCATCCTGTGAAAACCATTTTTAAATCGGACATTGCTTTACCATGGAAATGGTACCTTAAAATCTTTTAGCTGTCTCCTCCCGTTAGTGGGTGGAGTCAAGTGTCATATTACAAAATGTATTACTGTCTTTTAGAATCAAAAGTTTTTATAATCTTGACAAAACACATATATTTGGAAAGGTCTGAGTCTCAAGATTCCATATTTGGTGGTTATTTTTTGATAGAAGTAATATTGACAGAGAAATTTAGACCTTCGTGACAGAAAAATGCATCAACAAAAATTCTACAGAGTTTGGATGGCACCCGGTGGCTGTTTGTGGTATAACGCCCTAAATAAAATCTCACAGGAACCTCCATTTTTTTTATATATCAACTTCAAATTTGAAACATAACTTATTTAGACATAAGGCTTTAATTTTATATCAATTTTGGATTCAAAAATATTTTGTAAAATATTTACTTTATATAAAATAAAAAAAATTGGTACAGTGCATTTTCTTTACAGTAAATTTAAACTTCTATAACTTTTTGATACTTTAATATTTTGAAATGATTCCACTTCTGCAGTAATCTGCAGATTGTCTTCTTAAAAAGGAGTCCAACCTTAGATCTGTATTCCAAAGTTTTGATGAATTATAATTTACATTTGGATAGTGCACTTTCACGTCTATGTTCAAAAATGGGGGGTGGCACTTCAGGGGTTAAAGCACTTTGATTAAAGTCATCACTGCAAATGTTATATTCGATCGAATATCCATGTCATTCATATGGACTTTGTGTGCTTGTGAATGAATGAAGCGGTTTCTTTTGTGATTGAAGGGAGTGGTTCTGGGCTGTTTTTTTGGCCCGGCTGCGCTGTATATTTGGGCCATTGGGATCCTCGCCGCTGGACAGAGTTCAACCATGACAGGAACCTACTCTGGTCAGTTTGTGATGGAGGTATGTGGATCTGCAGACCGCTTGGTTCACAGGATGGCACTGCGTTTGGGTGTGTTTGAAAGCGTCCCTGTTCCCGGCTCCCCAGGGTTTCCTGAACCTGCGCTGGTCGCGCTTCGCTCGTGTGCTGCTGACGCGCTCCATCGCCATCTTCCCCACGCTCCTGGTGGCCGTCTTCGAGGATGTGCAGCATCTCACCGGCATGAACGACTTCCTGAACGTGCTGCAGAGCATGCAGGTACTCGTGTGTGACGCCGT